CACTTCACATTACTTGCACCTTTATCAAAGATTAGATGATCATATGATTGAGGGGAGATGTCAGTGTATTCAACCCTGTTCCATTGGTCTGCAGTTCTGCCTTTGTTCCAGTACCATGCTGTTTTAATTATTACTGCTTTGTAGTACAGTTTGAAGTTCGGGAGGTTGATTCCTCCCATTTTCTTTTTCCCAAGAATTGCTTTAGCTATTCGTGGGGGCTTATTGTTCCATATAAATTTCAGGAGTGTTTGCTCCATTTCTTTGAAGAATGTCGTGGGTATCCTTATAGGGATTGCATTGAATTTATACAATGCTTTCGGTAGTATTGTCATTTTGACAATGTTAAGTCTCCCGACCCATGAGCAGGGGATATCTTTCCATTTCCTCATGTCCTCTTTTATTTCCTGAAGTAGCGTTTTGTAGTTTTCTTTGTACAGGTCCTTTACTTCCTTAGTTAAGCTGATTCCTAAGTACTTGATTTTCTGGGGCACAATTGTGAATGGGATTGTTTTTTTCATGTTGCTTTCTTCTCTCTCACTGTTTGCATATAGGAATGCCATGGACTTTTGGGTATTGATTTTATAGCCTGCAACTTTACTATATGAGTCTATTGTTTCTAGGAGTTTTTTGGTGGAGGTTATTGGGTTCTCTAAGTATAGTATCATATCATCTGCGAATAGTGAGAGCTTGATTTCTTCCTTTCCTACCTGAATGCCCTTAATATCTTTTTCTTGCCTAATCGCTATTGCAAGTACTTCCAGTACTATATTGAACAGCAGTGGAGAGAGTGGGCATCCTTGTCTCGTCCCTGATCTTAGAGGGAAGGCTCTCAATTTTTCCCCATTGAGGATGATGCTTGCTGTAGGCTTGTGGTAGATGGCTTTAATTATGTTGAGGAAGGTCCCCACTATACCCATTTTGGCTAGGGTTTTCATCATAAAGGGGTGCTGGATCTTGTCAAATGCTTTCTCTGCATCTATTGATATAATCATATGCTTTTTATCTTTTCTCTTGTTGATATGATGGATTATGTTGATTGATTTCCGAATGTTGAACCAAGTGATTTAATTTTTAAAAAGCCCCATTTCCCTTGCTTACCTACCTCTTTAGACTCTTAAGTGTCAGAAATGAGTTGCCACTGTCCTGTCATATGACACAGTTCTGGATAATAAGGACACATGCAGAGGTTTCTGGCAAAGCTTTCGCTTTTCTAATCCAGGCATGGTGCCTGGTGCTTCTCTCTTTACCTACATAATGCATAACAAAATCCAGATGTCCACTAGCCCCTTGGGACATGAAGGGGGCACAATGAAGTAAAGACCATAGTAAAGAACATATTCTAAGCACATCTGAGTAGGAAGGTGGCAAGAGCCAATTTCATTTTGATGTTAAGTAGGCTTAGAAGTTTATTCTATGGACTTCTTAAAAGGACTGTGAGAGTTTTCTCTATTTCTTATAGAGAACACAATACTTAAAATTATATGAAAGCAAGTACATTAACCACTGGCTCTCATTTTCACAAAAACTTTAGCAGCACAACAATTAGGTAACTTAAAAAAGTTTATGGACTATTTCAGTGTTTGTAGCTGTTGGCTAACTATAGATTATCTCAGTCTGCATCACGTCAGACAACATCAGAAGTAGTTAATAGAGAGTCTGGTACCAAAGCCCTGGCTCCAGTGCTTTTCGGGAAAGGCAGATGAGATGTAAGGGTCAGCAGAGGGCCTGGGAGAAGCCTTTTATGTCCAGGGATATGTCTTTATTCTGAATGATTAAGTTTCCTGATCACTGCCCTTGTTCCTCTGGGTTGGAATTCCTATTTCAAACAGAAGATTGGTCTGAGTTTGTTCCTGATGGCCTCTGAGATTTTGCAGCCATTCACAAAGATGGCCTTGATAAGGAATTAATAAACATTAGATGTTTGATTATGCTTAGTCATGTATGGGGGCTTGAAATATGGGATTTGAAGTATTAATCTCTTACATTGTGCTTACAGATATTTTATAGAGATTAAGTTACTATTGAAGTGTAGTTTTCTACAAATTCTACCTAAAAACATGTATGTAAGTCAAAGGAATTTGCTAAAACTATGTATTGTATTTAGTATTATAAATTTTATGTGATCTCAGTAATTTTGTTAAATAGTTTCTAAGTAAAAATTCAATCAACAGGGGCTGGAGCAATAGCACAGCAGGTAGGGTGTTTGCCTTGCACACGGCCGACCTGGGTTCAATTCCCAGCATCCCATATGGTCCCCTGAGCATCACCAGAAGTAATTCCTGAGTGCAGAACAAGGAGAAACCATGGTGCATCTCCAGGTGTGACCCAAAAAGCAAAAAAAAATTAAGTGAACATAAAATGTGTTCCTCTACTAAACAATTTTTTTCTGTTTTGTGTAAGACTGAGATTTTTATCCTTTGTCTCTATATCTTGTCACCTTTCTCCTTTACATACATAGTATATATTTTGTGTCTTAGCTGGTAGAAACTAGGGAATTGCTTGAAAAATACTTAATTTATATGGAACCAACTAAATAAAGTTGGTTAATTGTCCAATCTGATTGTTTGAAAAAAAATTGGCTAAATGGGCACAAATACTAAATATTTAATTTTGTAGTAGTTAAAATCTTGTGATTCTTTTTTTAATGTAGGAGTACTGCTATTTTATTTAATGTAGGAGTACTGATTAGCTGATTGAATTGGGCATTAACTCCACCTTACTTTTTTTTCATTTTTTATAATTTTATTTATTTAATCACCGTGAGAGCAGTTACAAAGCTTTCGGGTCTAAGTCTCGGTCATACAATGAAACACCCATACCTTCACCAGTGCCCATTATCCACCACCAAAAACCCCAGTATACCCCAATCCCACACCCTCCCCCTCCCTGTGGGGCAGATGATTTCCACATTACTCTCTCTCTACTTTGATCACATTCAACACTTCGACACTAGACCCACCATTATTATTTGAGATTTTACCCAACACTCAGATCTGCTGAAAAGGCAACAGTAGACAATTTGTGTCCTGTTGCTGGTTATGAATAAAATATGATGTCGCGTGGCTGCAGTAGGGCCATGTGATTTTGAAATTCCGAAATTTTAACACTTAAATTTGGAGGGGTTTCTGCCAAAAGTCACTGGGTTTCGAGATTTGCTCCTGAGTCTCTGGGATCTTGGCCATTGAGCAGCTTGATCAGGAGCCAGAGAGACCGTTCGTGGGCGATGACTTGGGATCTCGTTGGGATGGGGAGACCTGGACCGGCTCCACCCCATCCTGTGAGGCCCAACAGTTTTCGTCACTGCGGGCCCAGACCTGACTGTCCAATGGCCTCTGGAGGATGACCGCCACCACGCCACCAGGGGGAGGCAGGTGGAGGGACAGCACCCTTTCCCCCCTGAGGTGGCCCAGTGACAGTAACCTACTGCGGGGTCTGGACGCATTTCTGCCAAAAGCCACTGGGTTTCAAGATTTGTTTCTGAGTCTCTGGGATCATGGCCATTAAGCAACTTAATCAGGAGCCAGAGAGGCCGTTCATGGGCGATGACTTGGGGTCTTGTTGGGGTGGGGAGGACAGGCCCAGCCCCCCACCCCCACCATCCGTGAAGTCCAACAAGTTTCGTCACTGCGGGCCCAAGCCTGACTGTCCAGTGGCCTCTAGAGGATGACGGCCACCGAGCCGCCAAGGGGGAGCAGGCAGAGGGACAATACCCTTTCCCCCTTGGGGTGGCCTGGCAACAGTAACGTACTGTGGGGTGCGGACACATTTCTGCCAAAAGCCACTGGGTTTCGAGATTTGTTTCTGAGTCCCTGGGATCATGGCCATTAAGCAGCTTGATCAGGAGCCAGAGCGGCCATTTGTGGGTGATTACTTGGGGTCTCGTTGGGGTGGGGAGGACAGGACTGGCTCCACCCCCATCCCGTGAGGCCCTGCATATCTCGTCACTGGGATCCCAAACCTGACTGTCCAGCGGCCTCTGAAGGATGGTGGCCACTGGGCCGCCGGGGGGAACAGGCTAAGGCACAAAACCTATTCCCACCTGGGTTGGCCCAGCACTGGTAACCTACTGCAGGGACCAGACACATTTCTGCCGAAAGCCGCTGGGTTTTGAGATTTATTTCTGAGTCTCTGGGATCATGGCCGTTAAGCAGTTCAATCAGGAACCAGAGAGGCCATGCCTCCAGTTATATAGCTGTGCTGGAGGTGGTTTGTGGGTGTGTTTTCCACATACCTCACTTTTGGCCGTTTACTTTCTTGGTAAACTTTGTCCCAAGTTTTTGGGGTCTGGCCAAAGGCACAGCAGCAATTTTGGAGTATCTGGAAGTCTGAAGGCACCATCAGGATGCTGATGCACTCGCCTCACAGGTACAGATTGACCTGCTGGCGGCACCATACCCCCTGTGATTTTTTTTATAACTGATCCAACAGTATCAATAAAATAATTTGATCAATTTTATGTTTATATTATTAAGGATTGTATGCTATTTTATATTTTTATACTTTGTACTATTAAATTATTCAGTATTAGAATTATTCAGTATTAGTATTAATTTCAAAGTACAGAAAGTGTGTTTTGGAATTAATTGTGGAATAAGGTATATGAGAGATTTAAATTCATCAAATATAAAGTTCATAGGTTGACTTATGCTCATTGTAATGGGATATAATATTTTACTGAGTTCATATATTTTTAAAAATTTAGTCGAATTGTGATGTGTTTAAAATAATGTTTTACCATTATTTCTGTAAATAGAATTTAAAAAGTGGTAATATATTATGCCATTGAGAAAAGGACAAAAATACTTTAAATATGAAGTATAGCATTATAATCAGAAACTACAGTAATGCAAGAAAATTTTATTACACACCAAATGAAACAACCCAAACACTAATAATGATTTCTCATATTCTGATAATCAAGAAGGTTGACAGAGGCATCTGTGCATGTGTCATCAAGAATATATGCGAGTATTACAGGAGAAAACACAATCAGCGTCATCTCAGCAAAACCTAGCAATCTCTCTTAAAGTACAACCTGAATGACAACATTTACTACTAAGTGATACTGTGTCCTGTCTCTTTTTTCTGCGTTGTTTATTAGCGTCTTTGCTGATTAATTTTGAAGGAATGTTGTTGCCTTCTCTTGCAGTATTAGAGATAATTTCCTGGAATTCTTTGAAGGAAATATCTTTATTTTCCAATGCAAGTTGTTTAAGCTTAATAATCACTGGATGGTTCGGAGAAAATGTTCTACGCAGAAACTTAGCAATGTATTCTCCTAGCATTTTCGAGGTATTCTCATCCATCTTGGAGGTTGGTTCTGTTTTTAAGTTGGAAAGGGGAGGAGTGAGGATAGAAAAAAGTATTCAAGTCAGTGAACATAAGAAAAATTGAAAATTTCTGCAAACAAATAAAACATTGCCTTAATGAAATTAACAGCAAAACACAATCAACATGTATTCTGCTCACAAGTGTTCCAGTGGTCTGATGTACTTTACTCCGCTCTGCTTTACTCCCTCCTCTCCCTCCCTTCCTCCCTCCTTCTCTTATTCCCTCCCTTACTCCCTCCCTCCCTTCCTTCCTTCCTTCCTTCCTGCCTGCCATTTTTGGCCCACACCACGTGGTTCTCAGAGATCACTCCTGTTAGTGTTTAGGGAACCATATGTGATGTTGAAGATTTGAACTGGGGTCAGTGACATGGAAGGAGTACCTTAACCTCTGTACTATCTCTCTGGTCCAGATGATATTCTCTTTTTTTTTCTTTTTGGGTCACACCTGGCAATGCACAGGGTTTACTCCTGGCTCTGCACTCAGGAATGAACTCTGGTGGTGCTCAGGGGACCATGTGGGATGCTTGGAGTCGAACCCAGGTCGGCGGCGTGCAAGGCAAATGCCTAACCCGCTGTGCTGTTGCTCCAGCCCATGGTCCAGATGATATTTTCTTATCTGAGTTATTTCCTTCCATTACTAAGCAACCTTTGATTTATGGTAGTAACCTTTTAAGAATATGTCAACTATTTTAATCTTTCAGATCCCTCATAGTAGAAATTTACTGCTTCAGAATAAAGTTTAAAAGATATGATTTCCAACTACTCTGCTACAATAGACAGGAAGTTGTTGAGTTCTTTGTACATTTATTTAACAGTTTTTCCTTCACACAGTATTTACTTCAAATAGTAACATTTTACAATAGAAAAGAGGAAGTGGGTAAAAGAAAACTTACCAATTATCACTAATTTTAAGGCGCTATTGGTATCTATTTTGATACATGTTTATTGACTATTGGAATTATATAGGTTTTTTTTTTACATTTTTGTGCTCCTGTAAAATCCCTGTGCTATATGTTACATAGAAAGGAACCTATTATTAAGCAGGACCTCGGGCATGATAAAATATGATGGCTTAATTGACATTAAGTTGTTACTAAATTGTTGCTAAAAATGGTTTGATGAGCACACATACACTATGCAGATATATACATATGTATGCATCTGATAAAGCTCTAAATTTTAACAAGGAGGGTTTAATATGAGAAGGGTTTTGTTTTTGTTTTTGTTTTGTTTTTTGCATTTTGGGTCACACCCGGCGATGCACAGGAGTTACTCCTGGTTCGTGCACTCAGGAATTACTCCTGGTGGTGCTCGGGGGACCATATGGGATGCTGGGAATCGAACCTAGGTCAGCTGCTTGCAAGGCAAATGCCCTACCCGCTGTGCTATTGCTCCAGCCCCAATATGAGAACTTTTTAAATAATAATTTTTAGAATTTTTACTGAGGAAAAATTGTGAGTACAAAAAGATTATTATGAATTGTTCTCTGGTAGTGTCAGTTTAGCATTTGATTGAGAGAGAGAATTAAGAAAAAAGTAAAGTACTAGAGTACCATTTTCTTTCCATTGAAAACTGCTGCAGTTTGTTATTGGCTGACAGGAGAATTGAACCTTTTTACAGAAACCATACTAAGAAAATAAACCCCAGGTCATTTCTGCCAGTACACTGGGTGTGGTTTTCTATATCAGTAGACATCATGGTTTCTTAGAAATTCATCTTCTATGCTTAGATTGATATCTTTTCTCTTTCCACTTTTTCAAGAGCAAGGTCCAAATAATAATTACTGAAAAGAGAGATGTGCTCAAGATCTGCAAGGACCAATTTCACTAAAATTAAACTTTTTAAAATTTTGTTTAGAATTTATGATGCTAAATTTACATGACTAAGTTTTTTGAAATCAAGAAAAATGTCTTAAAATCTGCACCTATATGTTCATTGCAGCACTGTTTACAATAGCCAGAATCTGGAAAAAACCCAAGTGCCCAAGAACAGATGTCTGGTTAAAGAAACTTTGGTACATCTACACAAGGGAATACCATGCAACTGTCAGAAAAGAGGAAGTCATGAAATTTGCATATAGGTGGATCAACATGGAAAGTATCGTGTTAAGTGAAATGAGTCAGAAAGAAAGGGACAGACATAGAAAGACTGCACTCATTTGTGGAATATAAAGTAACAGAATGGGAGACTAACACTGAAGAATAGTAGAGGTAAGTGTCAGGAGGACTATTCCACAGCTTAGAAGCCAGCCTCACGCGCTGGAGGAAAAGGCAGCTCAGACAGAGAAGGGACCACCAAGTAAAGGGTGCTAGGAGAGCCCACTCAGGATGGGAGATGCGTGCTGAAAGTAGACTATAGACTGAACACGATGGCTACTTGATACTCTATTGCAAACCACAGCACCCAAAAGGAGAGAGAAAGCAAAAGGGAATGCTCTGCCACAAAGTGGGGTGGGGCGGAGGGGACTGGGTGGAGGTGGTGGGAGGGATGTTGGGACCTTTGGTGGTGGAAAATGGGCACTGGTGGAGGGATAGGTACTCGATCATTGTATGACTGGAACGCAAGCACAAAAGTTGTAAGTCTGTAACTGTACCTCACAGTTATTCACTAATAAAATATTTTTTAAATGTCTTAAATACTTGTGCCAGAGAAATTATATATCCACTCATGAAAAAAATTCAAATGTTTTAAAGAGAACAATGTGAGAAAGTACCCAGAATATAATATTAAATAAAAGTTAAGAATATATATGTACACATAAAAAGTTCTCAAAAGTTAAACTTTGCTTTCCCATCTTCAATTTACATATTTTTATTCTCTCAATTCACATATTTTAGTCATATTTACAAGGGCTTTTCACCTTTCCATTGTCTTCAAGTATGTTTTTTCAATCCTTAATGAGGACCTATTACTCAGTTAAGAAATTAGCAAAGTGGAGTATTTGTTATTTTTTCCTATTTTGATTCCTAGATGCTGCTATACTCTTTGATTAGTATCATAAGAGAAATGTAAAAGCTTACAATAAATAAATTTTTGCCAACCAAAAATAGTCTCTTTTTTACACAAAAGATCAACTTTATAAACTTCATAAACTTCCTGTAAATCTCAGAAAGGGACTTAAATGTCCAAGGTGTCCAAAAATGATATTACATGAGAGTCAGTTAGTCACAGACTAAGCATAGAGCTTATAAAAACACTGGTGGTTTATCATAAATTGAATGTGTTATGAAATCTGAAACAGTTGTTTGTCATTAACTTACGCTTACACTATTAGTGTAGTATATCTGTGAAAGTTTCCATGTCTGCTTTAGTTTAACTTCCGATCTATTTTTGTAAATGGCTTATAAATAATAATTCTTTATTTACCCCTTCCAAATTTCACCTGCACTTAGTCTTGAAATCTTTCTCTAAAGGAAAACCCTAATTTCTGTGATGTTTGAGTCCCAATCCGGGTTTCCACTATTGTGCTCTGAAGGGAAAACTTGCCTTGACTGTTGGCCCCTTCAGGTTCTGTGGTGGGTGGTCCCTCCTTTCCTCTTCAATCCCTTCTTTCACAAATGTATTTACAGACCTCGTTCACGGGGACGTTGGTTCTCTCATTTCTTTACCAATAAGTATCATATTAAGGCGAAAGATTTCCATGGTGTCATTTGCTTTTTTGTTTTTTCAAAAGAGGAGAGTGTTTAAGCTACGGCTCTGCATATCCTGTTATCACTTCAGTAGTTCACCTCATTCTGCCCCAGGTCCTGGAGGCCCGAACCGGCTTGATAACCAGTTTCAGCACCACTTTTGGCCCTCTGTGGCCTCAATCTAGATGCCCCCCCCGTTTGCCCAGCCACGAATATGTATGTTGCCAGGACACCAGGGGTGCTGCCTCACTTCTATAAGGCCTTCCAGCAGCTTTCCCTCCTTTGTGGCATTCAATTTCTCCCACTCAGGCACCAGAAAGGAACTACGGGCACTCAGTGGAAGCCCGGAGAGGGCATTTTTGGGGTTATTGTTAGTTTGTTATTTCTTTTTTCATGTTTGTCCCCACTGCACTGCCTCTTTTATACTCTGTTATTCCGTATCCCCACTGAAACCCTAACTGAAAAAGCAAAGTACAAACCCAAACTCTCAGTCACAAGCAGACACGACAGCATGTGAGCAGCCAATAAGGTCTGGAGCCAGGCTATGTGGCTCCCGGTTCTGATTGGCTGGCAGCACAAAAGCACCCAATGGGAGCTCTCACCTCTGGGTGGTCCAGATTCTCGTCTCTCCCTTCGGTCATTTACATCTCTCCACGACGACAGCGAGTTGCCACAGGCTTTGATCTGCTCGCGCGCCAATTGCCGGCCACATACCTTAATAACAGTGTCCCAGTTTTGGCCTCGACTTTCTCTGGGAAGTTGGCTCAGTAGCAGCAGGAATCCTAGCAAGTGGAATGAGAGCAGCCTCTGCATCTTGATCCTGGTGGTTCTGCTCTAGGCGTTTCAGACTCTGGAGCCTATAGCTGATGCAGTACTTCAGGATGCTTTCCCTGTCTGCTTCCACCTTTATATAGCCGTTTGGCTAGTATCTGAAAAATCAGACAGTGGTCCAAGCTCCTCCTCCTTCCACGCCCACCTTCTGGTATTTTGCCACGCCCTGCACCCGTTCACCCTTCCCTCCTTTACTCTATCTACCTGACCGATACTGCATTGGTCCTATTACAGTTGTGATTTTCCTCTTTTTTTGGTAAAGCCCTCAAAACATTTTGTAAACTTAGATAAAGTTAGACCGTGTTTGGAACCTTTTCTTTCTTGTAATGTAAAGCTTTACATTAAATCAAATCATATCATTACCTGAAATTATATATTTTGTACATTTATTTACACTTAATAAAACATTAAATCACCTCTCTTCTCATAATCCAATTTTCCAAGTTGAATATTTGCTGCGTAACACGGTCACACGGTCACGGTTCTCCCGTTGTTCGTCATTTGCTCGAGCGGGCCCAGTAACGTCTCCATTGGAGACTTTGTTGTTACTGTGTTAGGCATATCGAATACATCACGGGGAGCTTGCCAGGCTCTACCATGCCGGCGAGATACTCTCGGTAGCTTGCGGGGCTCTCCGAGAGGGGCAGAGGAATCGAACTCGGGTCAGCCATATTGGCTACGTGCAAGGCAAACGCCCTACCGCTGTGCTATCGCTCCAGCCCCTGCTGCGTAACAAAATCTGTTTATATTAAGTCATCAAATATGTTCACTGAATGGATAAATTGTCAATGAAGGGAAAGACATAATGTCCTGTCATCTTAACCCTAGCAAAAATATTATAATTTTCTGTTTCTCATATACATATACAACATCTGGTATTTATGATGGATTTTCTCCACTGACTTTTCTTTGAATTCTCTGGAGGGTTTATTTGTAATCAATTTTGAATAAATTTATCTTGAGATTGCATTCTTATTTCTAGAGATTTTCTGTCTGTCTGTCCTCCCGTTGTTCATCGATTTGCTCAAGCGGGCCCAGTAACGTCTCCATTGTGAGACTTCTTGTTACTGTGTTTGGCATATTGAATACTCTCGGTAGCTTGCCAGGCTCTCTGAGAGAGGTGGAGGAATAGAACCCGGCTCAGCCGGGCTGGCTGTGTGCAAGGCAAACGCCCTACCACTGTGCTATCACTCCAGCCCAGAGCATTTACACATATACACAGACATATGCAAATAGACAAATACACAGAAACAGGACTAAACTAGAAAACAGTAGAGGTAGTCACATCTTGTAAGTGTGAAGATATTTTGTTAACATCGCACAGAAGTCATGTTTTAAAATAGTATTCTAGGGAGCAGGAATGATAGTACAGTGGGTAAGCTGATTGCCTTTTTCCACATCTAACCTGAGTTTGATCCCCGGCATCCCATATGGTCCCCGGGCCTATCAGGAGTGATTCCGGAGCTCATGGCCAAGATTAAGTTCAAAGTACAGCTGAGTCTGGCCCCAAAACACATACAAATGTTTTCCTAGTATATTTTTGTTTTATTTGGTGAGAAGTAATTGTGGTTGGGGCCTTCCAAGAGGTAATCAGGTGATCTAGGGCCACTCTCTGCAGTACTGACCCTAGAAGTTCAGTGCTGAGGCCTGAGAATGTTGTGCAAGTCTGCCTCTGCAGTTTTGGGGCTTCTAGTTTCAACCTGGCCATGCTTCAACATCGTCAGGCCCTACAGACTGAGGCCTGGAAGAACATACAGTCTCCAGTATCAAAACCTAGTCAGGTTCAAGAAACTATGTTTCCTCACAGTACTAGGAACGTAGTCTGAAATACATTTTTTGTTTGCTTTTCGGGGACATGTTCAGTCAGTGCTCAGAGCTCCCAGATCTGTGCTCAGCGATGACTCTTGATAGGGCTTGGGGCACAATATGAGATTCTGGGGCTCAAGCCTGTGTCAGCTGCACGCAAGGTAAACGCTTTACTCTCTGCGCTATTGACCCGCCCTGAAATGTAATTTTTTTGTGAAATGTAATTTTTGATGCCTTCTACTTTCACATTAAAAAAAACTTCCCCAACATTGTTTGAGGGGTATTTAATTAGATCAACTTTATTGTTTATTAGATAAACTTTACTGTTCTCTATGAAACTTTTAAGGGCTAAAGGTTTGGCTTTGGTAATTTATTTGTTTGCTGAAATATCCTCATATCATCTAACATCACCAGGTAAACAGAAGAAAGTTAGGGTAACTTTAAACAGTTTAACAAATGAATTATGTGCTGAACTCAAGAGAAAAACTGGTAAACTCAAGAGAAAAACTGGTTAAATTGAGAATGTAAAAAAATGTTCTATTTTCCCTTATTTTGTCCTTCCCAACAAAGATAGCCCCTAAGCAGAGTTTTGAATCAGGAATCTTACTTTGATGTACAGAACAGATAGTTCCATCAGAGCAGGCCCAGGTTAAAGGGTCAGTTCACAACGAAATTTACTGACTGCTGTAGTATGACCAGTCCACAGTCTTCCCTTTATACAAGTAGACTTCCCTGTAATTTTCCTGCAATCTTGAAAGGTTTTTATATTTGAGCTCTCTCATTAGTTGTGTAGAGGTCTAAAGTTTAAAGTATAGTCACTCCACTGAAATTCTTCTGAGTCCTTTCAGAGAGAATTTGAGTATAATCAGTTATTTGGATGAACTTAATCTGAAATATCTGAAATTGCAGTATATATCTCTAGAGGTCAGAAAGCTATCACACACACACCAAAATAGAAGTATTTGAAATACTTGTCACTGAGGTTAAGTGAATAATTACCTTTTGTGTTATAGTAATTTGTGTAAATGTTTTTTAACCTAAAATGTCCCCAGGGAAACCTTTCAGTAAAAAGAAAAATTCTAAGTCAAGAATGAAGTATTTAACGATTTAAAGAAAAATACAAAATGGAAAATTTTATATGAATTTCCAAAGTGTCCCATAATAGTTGTTCTCTCCTTGTAGAAAAACGAATACCTAGTAATAATTCTAATAGAATATTGAAGCTTCATGGGAATCTTGTCAAATAAGTAGATATATTTAGCTTATTTTTTAAGACCACATCTAGCATTGCCTGGGGGTCACTTCTGTGCTTGGGGTCCACATTGCTGAGGAGAAACCAGCACTAGGGGTTCAGCACAGGCCTGCCACATACAAAGTACACACTCACCCCAGAGATCCATTCCTCTGGCCCTCTTTGACTTTATAACATATATATTAATAATAAAATTTTTAAATTATGTGAGTTCCTAAATGTCTTATTTTCTCTTTTCTATTCTTTTTACTATCCTAAAAATAGGGTTGGATGTTTGGGGGCCTTTGGAACATTGGTGCAGTGTTTAAATGATGCATGCTTGAAACTATCATGAGTAGTATTGTAAATCACAATACCTGATTTAAAAAGTTTAAAAAGTGGTATATATGTGTATATATATATATACATATATACATATATTATATATAATAAAATTGGACAAACTAACTTCTTGTTGCATTTTATAGTCTTTAAGTATGAGCAATCTAAGGGAAAATTTTTTTCCAATCATAAACAACTTTGAAACTGTATCTCATGGTGATTTAATTAAAAAAAAAACTGTAAAAATCGACCTTGTTGAAATGAGTAGCACTGTCCTCCCGTTGTTCATCAATTTGCTTGAGCAGGCCCAGTAATGTCTCTATCTTGAGACTTGTTGTTGCTATGTTTGGCATATTGAATATGTCACGGGGAGCTTGCCAGGCTTTGCCGTGCGGGCAAGATACTCTGGGTAGCTTGCCAGGCTAGAAAAACCTGCAAACTTGGAGAGCTGCTAGGGGGATGGAGGCCACTGAGTTTTTTTTTTTTAATTCTAATGTTGAAATGAGTATCCTACAAAAATTATTATGCAGTTTTTTAATGTGATCCCTACCAAAAACCGTAATAACATTTTTCAAAATAGTAAAAACAAAATGAGCATTGTTAAATATTTTTTCATGAAAAAAAAACCCCACTATTTAATGCTGTAATATAGCACAGGGGCTGGAGTGATAGCACAGCGGGTAGGGCGTTTGCCTTGCACGCAGCCAACATGGCCTACCTGAGTTCGATTCCTCCACCCCTCTCAGAGAGCCCGGCAAGCTACCGAGAGTATGTCTTCCGCAGGGCAAAGCCTGGCAAGATACCCGTGATGTATTTGATATGCCAAACATAGTAACAAGTTTCACAATGTTACTGGGCCCGCTTGAGCGAATCGATGAACAACAGGAGAATAGTGATAGAGATCACGATCACGATCATCCTGTTGTTCGTCGATTCCCTCGAGCAGGCACCAGTAACGTCTCCTTCTTCCTAGCCCTGAGATTTTAAAAGAGCCATTTCAATGCTCTTTCAGAATTAGGCGAATGAGACCCATCATTGTTACTGGTATTTGGCATATTGAGTACGACACGGGAAGTTTGCCAGACTCTGTTGTGCGGGCAGGATACTTTTGGTAGCCTGCCAGGTTCTCCAAAGGAAAAATAAGATAATAAGATGTTGCACAGCCGCAAATGCGGCCGCGCGCTTCTGGGAGCTGGGTTTTATAGTCTCTGTGTCTTGGCCGTTGATGGGACCAACCTGGCGCTGGCGGCAGCTGGTGGGTATGATGCTTACCTACTCGAAGATGGGGGGTCTGGTTGGAGAAGGCCCAGTCCCAATCCGAGTAGGCTTGAAGACCTCAGCCCTGGGACTCGCATGCCTGGGTTCCTCTGCCAGTTCTTTCATGCATGAGGCCCGTCCAGACATGTGTAGAGTTGTCCCAGCATGGCTGTGGCTGGCTCTGGAGGTCCTCAGCTGCTGGGGCTCTGCTCCGGGTGGGGGGTGGGGGAGAAACTCAACCCTCCCCCCTCCAAGGGGCCCCAGTAAGGACAGCCAGGTGTGGGAGCAGGAGACTCTGATAGAGTGATAGAGATAGTGAATATTAATTCAGAGAACTTCATGGAAA